CGGGCTGAGGGGGCTGCGAGTGTTTTGTAGCGTTGTCATAAAACACCTGCAGAGCGAAAGGAGCCTGCCCCGTACGGTAGAGATTTGCCAGGAGCAGTGCGCGCCCTTAAACGCTGCCCTCAGGAAGAAGGGGTTTCCCGGTTGCTGTGTTTGAACACGTCCCCACTAGGAAAAGAAGGCTGGGATTGCTGTTCCAGGTGGGAGGCACAGAAAACGTTACTGTCAAACGTACTGCTGTCGTGGTGTATTGCCCTGTAGAGGACAGGGAATAAGCTGTTTAAGAACTTTCCTATGGATATAACCGGGCCCACTTTTGGTGCGTCCTACTCCTTTTAATACCCTGGTAAGGTTAAAATAGTACCGTTTTGTACCTACGGAACCCGTCCGTACGAGGATGATCCTGCGGAGAGCCTGGGACTCGGCGCAGGCCGCCCCGTGCCCGAAAACTATCTTTTTCCCTGGTAAAGATGAGGCTTGTGACTGAGCCTGAGATAATTCCTCACGCCCTCTGCAGATGGCAGAGCTAAAACATAAATATGCTAACGACATAAAAAATACAGCAGAAAACCGTAAGCTTCTAGGAACTAGCCTCATGCACGGTAAGCTTTGCCACCTGACGTTGCAGCGATTACCTCTCGTTTACTACAGCTTTGTAGTAAAAAATATCCTCTGATACTGTCGACAGGCCCCTTTATGAAGGGAAAAAAAATTATGTCCCAATCAGGCATATTTTTATTAGGTTTGTATGGATTGATTCTTAAAAATAAGAAAGAAACACTAGAAATAGAATATATAGGACTGGGCGGGGAGGGGGGGGAATGCTACAAAAAACCTAATTCAGTTTCAATTCAGTCAGCTTGTGCTGTTGTGGATTATATAGTTTATCTCATGCTCGCAAACTATAGTTCAATAATTTAATTTAAATAGCTGCAGATAATTAATACATTATTCGTAGGCTTTTGATAATAACATTTCCTTCAGCAATGGAATCTCTGTTTTCTGATAGGCTTTCTCAGTACAAAAATTTCCATGACTCAAACGTTATGCCCCTTATCAGACAATAAATGTATATAATGCTGTGATCCCAAGACCAAGAAGAGACCTTTACATGCTATATTTCAGGACACAGTTTTTTGGAGCATCATATATTGTCCGGTATTGACACACCAATACAGAGTATTCTGGTATCAGTACTAGGGAACTTTTTAAGGTTTCTCGGGAAGCGGTCCAACAGAAATTACATAACTTCCTGCACATCTTAGATATTTCTCTTTTAGGATGCCTTGCAATGATTATAAATGAAAGCTCACTGGATCTGAACAAATATGGCTAATAACTGCATATCTGTTTCCTACCCTTAACGGAGCCAAGAACAGTTATTCACAGGATTTGAATGACTTTCTATTCTTCCTATTCCTAACTCATAAATACAGACAGAACAGGCAGAACAAAAACAACTTAAGTCACAGGCTCTAAGTAGGCAATCCTATTCAGAAATAATTAAGTTTTACTAATGAGAAATGCTCTAGATTCATCTAGCACGGCTTACGTCCACCTGAATACTACTCAGCCCTCAGCTATTTTCAGTTCAGGGAATGAGAGGGAGTTCTTTAAAACAGAATGGGAGAGAAGAAAAGAGAAAATACTTTCAAAAGTTGTTTCAGACTGGTGCCATAAACTATTTCCTAATCCCCTTAATAATAGTATAAGTTTATAGTAAAGGTAGGTTATGATTTAGTCAGTTCCCAGCTTTCAGGTTCGTGATCAAACCACAAATAAACATGGGCGTAGGATTGCAGTAAAGCTGTAGAGATAGTCTAGCAACCAGATTATGCTTTCACAATTTATCTGCATAATTCCTTCTCTTTAAGGTGGGGTTTTTAGCTCAGTTCCCAGGGGGGATTGTGGCCTTGCAATCACTATAGTTGTCCTTTACTTAAAAACTTTGAACTCACCAGCTGGCTTTAACCAAATTGAGCAGAGGTCTAAAGGTCCCTTACAGGAATTCAGTGTCTACAAATATAAAATAGGTATCAGATGGAAGACAGACTCAGTGGAAGGAAGGGCTGTAGCCTGAGCTGTCAGTCAACCACAGGACACAAATCCACAGATATCCAAGCTGCCTTACTTCTGCTGTACAGGGGCCTTTAGTTCCGCTGCAGTTAGTCCAGTGAAGTCACGCTGCACACGCAGTTGTAGCCGTGATTTTCCCACACCAAATAGCAAATGAATTCTGCATTTTTTAATTTCTAGAGCCAGCTGTCATTGGAAAGTCATTCTCTTGCTATCCCACTGGCTGGAGGATTCATTTTAAACAGTAGATCCATAGAAGTGAAAACTCTCTCTGCGCTTCTTCCAGTCCCCCCTGGATGCCGCAAAAACTGCTACATCCCACAGATTCCAGGATAAGTATTTTAAGTGCTTGAACTTTCTAGAGAAGTGGGTTTACACCTTCACCTTGCTGCAGATTATAAAGGGACTGTTTGCCTCTTACGGTTTCAAGCTGTCACTCTTCTCCAACTTCTTCTCCAACTTCTTCCCCACTGCTACCAGGGAATATTTTATTTTGAAATGCTCTGAGGCCTGTGTTGTCCCTTTAGATTGTTCTGCACGCAAGACAGAGAGAGCGACTGTCACGGCTCCAGAGCTCTGATTTAGCCAGAGGTAAGCAGACGTCTGTTCAAGACCTGACGTTTGATGCTTCATGTTGTTTGGATGTTCCTGATGGAATAGGTTAGAAGTGGAGAACTGTTTTGTCTGAGGATTAAACATCAAACTCGCTGATATGCCTGGGAGCTACAACCAGATCCAGCCTAGCCTCTACCAGTTACACTGGTCTGTTTCCTTCTACCTTGTCAAATGCATAAATGTTGGAAACATTGATTAACTTCATCCAGTTTACTTCATCACCGCCTCCCAACTCTGTGATGTCATAGGGACATGAGAATCTGATCAGATTTCTCACGGGGAGTTTACTGAACCAATTCTGATGCTTCTTGGAGAAGAGTTTTTACAGCAACAACTTTCTGATGCTGAAGAAGAGGAGACATTGGTGACCCATTCAAAATCTAAGGAAATTAAAGCTCTAAATTTTCAAATTTAGAATGGTGACACTAGCCAACGTTACTATTGCATTGTTCTCTGGGAAACAGTCTGTGACTGTCGTCATGCTGCATATTTTCAGATAGTAGTAATGCGAAGCCACTGATAAAATTCCTGTGATGAGGGATCTTTACTAACTCACGGTCCCTCTTTTTCTCCATAGCTTCAAAGGGTCACCAGCAATTCAGGCATATATTTGGGTGTCTTTCCTTATCTCCAGCCCACTGGTTGATAAGAGGATATACATGGTGCACGCTTTTTAGTTGCTAATAAAGACCAACTTTTGGTTTCAGAATGAGCGTTCTAAAAGTAGATCCTGCTGCCATTATAGGCCATAGCATACATCTGAGCAACTCTTGGCACTAGCAGTGACATTGCTTCTGACATTGTTTTAACTTGATTTTATAATTGAGCTCCAGGCCAACCATTAATGTAAATCAGTACTTGTCTCTCTCAAGCTGCACGAACTCTTGCATTTTATGACATGCCATGCCAAGCACCTCCTTCATTATTTCCTGTGTGAGCTATACTCACAAACAGCGTACCCTTCTGCTAGGTACTTTTTTCAGTTAAGCCAAACCACCTGTTTCAGGGGGTGATCTGCTTTCTGTTTTAGTTTTCAGATGCCGAAGATCTGCAAGGAAACGCATCTTTTCTTCTCTGACCCTTTTTCTCGCAACTGACTTTAGAAGCGTATTTCCAAAAGTCAGCAGTTCCACTTCAAGATGCTAGAGCTCAAAGGCTGTTAGAAGATGTTCCAATCTCATATATGATGTCTGCATGTCCAAGTAATGATGGATCATACTGAACTGCCATACTACCATGTCCTCTATCATCAGGAAGGGGGTGTAAAATTCTTCCTCCTCTATCAGGAAGCAATTCCATACTGGGACTGACACATAGAAAACAGTACTCATCTCTCAGCAGTTCACCAATGCAGACCTTGAATTTATTATCAGATGAGCTGTGCAGGTTCTTGTCTCCAAATCCTGAGTGGGAGATCTGCATTGGTATCCTCAAAGTAGTCTGTGAACGGGAGCCACTCAAGTAGATTTGCGTTGTCCACATCAGGAATAAACGTCACTTCTTGTCTCAAATATTTTAGCGCCTGAGGTCTTTCTCTTAGGTTCATTGCGGTCGCATGGTCAGACCGTCGGGTGTGCGCCTCTCTTCCAGTCCCATTGCTTCCACAAATCTTGATTGAAATAAGACAAAAAAGCACCAAAATTATTCTGATTGTTTCAGCCTCGTCTAAGCAGTTTCCTGAAACCTCTACCATTGTTCCCAAACCTACTGATGCAAATGTCGTATCACTCGATTCAACCCAGCCTCAAAACGTTCCATCTCAAAAGTGTGCATGCTAGAGGATCTCTGTTCAAAGTACTCCTGCTCTTTTCCAGTAACGTAAGTCTTTATAAATAGCTCTCCAAGTACGTCAATTTAATGGACCAGGTTCTCTTCCGTATTAACCGTTGAGCTATTTTGGAATAACTGCTGCAGTTAAGAGAATCTGATTTTTCCACTAGGCTGCTACTTCAGCACACCACTCTCCTGTGGACTGGACCCCTTCTCTGCCTTGCCTCACGCTTCTTAAAATTTCTGAAGGGACATCATCTCCTCTGTTCGAGGATCTTCCACTCACTATAGTGAAACACAAAACTTAGGACAATGTGTACTAATGCTCCCTGTTAAATCTGCATATTCCTTTATCTCTCTACAGATTGCTCTGGTGCCTTTACCTCTGCTACAAGACTGATGGAAATGCAAACCTTATGGTAGATCCTCTTTTCTTTTTCAGGGAGAATGTGTTGCTTTGGACAGACTCAGTATTTCTCCTTAACGTGGTATGAGAGTTTTATCTTAATCAAGAGATTAATCTCTAATAAGTTTTCTTTTCTAACCTTCAGTCATCTAGAACAAGAGTCTAGGCTTTTCCCTTTTCACATTCAGAGGCCTAGGTATTTTGGAAAAATCACTCATGCTGTTTATATGCCTTGTCAAAAATCAGATCCATTGCCAAATAAAATCTCTCAAAATGAGTGGGCGCACTTAAGACATGCTATGAGATCGTGAAAGCAAGTCTCAGGACACACTCCATCAGCAGTCAGCCAGCATTGGTAGCGTGAGTGAGGAAGAGCTCAATCTTCAATAGTCGCCCTGTAGCGATAAGAAGCTTCAGCCATACCTTCACCAAGCATAACGCGACCACTGAAACGTCACAGGCTGACAAGACACTAAAACTGTACTGGAATCATTCTCTGTTTGAAGGACTCTTGAGTCTTCTACCAGTTAATTAGTAACATGCTTGCTGTCTCCCACAATATTCATCTACCTGCAGACCATCACCCAAAGATAAAAGGACAAATAATTTAACAGGAACTTGAGTTCTTTGACAAAACTACATTCAGTTCCTCCGTACTGTCTCCTTGCTCTCAAGGTCCTCCACAATTCATGGAGTTACATTTTTGCGACTTAGAAGAAACTGGAGTTGTACGCTCCATGCTATAACCTGTGCTTGTCTGTCCTGTGCACAGATTAGGTTTGAGCGTGCTGCTTTTATGTGCCTAGAGTAATAGGAAATATATACACTCCCGATGTGAGTGTATATGTAGACTATCCATTCTGAAAAACTGGGAGATAACCTCTTGTTTTCTGCTACTTTTCAGGTGTTATTTCAAGTGAAAAGCTGAGAGATTTAGTGGAAAAGAAAGACAATTTGTCTGAAGACAATAAATTTAGAAGAACATCAGTTTTTCATATAACAAGTGGAAGAGCCTCTTATGATCTGTGCTAGAAGAAAATCACTTCCAAATTTATCCCTTTTTTGTTGTTATTATCCATTTACTGGGCAGTAGAAATAACAAGAGACATAATTATAGATCAAATATATAATGTTATATCCATCCTCACCAAGTCTAAACACCATTTCATAAGCTTAATATGCTATGAAGATAATTACGAAACGACTAAGAACTGTTATGATTGGGACCACGTTAATTATAAAAATACTGTGTATTTACACAGCACACTTGAAGTGCTTTAAGCATTTGGATTAAAATGGTTAAGTATTATTCTCATAGTGGAAAACGGGAATAATGAGGAAATTAAGGCACAAAGAGGAACACCCTGCCCAGCATAACTCTCTGAATCAAAGGAACTACTAAATCCTAGGAAACCAAACAGTTCTTATTTTGAAGTGTAGAGGTTTCTGCCAAGGAGGAGAAACAGATGAAAAATGAGACAGATCAGGCTTTGTGGTAATTTTACAAAAGGTATCCACTGGAATATGTATTACATATTGAAAATCGGAATTGAAGCAAGACTATATTATAAGAATCTGCTGTAACAATTTCAGTCCGTAAAACACATCTTTTTTTTTCTTGTTTGCTCTCCAGTATCCTTAGCTTTTATAAAAACACATACACAACATTTATTTTCCTTCAGTTTTAAAGCTTGAAGAGTGACATGAGAAATACCTTGCTTTACAGAAAACTGATCCTTCAGTGAAGGCTGATATCAGCTAAAAATCATAAGAACAGTAGCTAGAGCATAAATATTTAATATAAATCTTTATGATTCTATATACTAGAAATGATGGCAGAAGAAACATAAATTTGTAGAACATACGTTCTCTTTCAATAGAATTTTTACAAGATTCAGTCCATCAGGTACAATGACATTTTTGCAAGTATCAAAAAATAAAGAAAAACAGTTTTACATTACACTGTCAAGACAACCAAGATAACGATGTGCTTAACCAAATCTATACAAGTTAATCTTTAGAAGGCCATCCTTGTTTGCTCCCCCCCCAAAAAAGTTGCTAATATTGAAAGGACTTTTCTTTTTTTTTTTCTTTTTTTCTTTTTTCTTTTCTTTTCTTTTTTTTTTTTTTTACAAAATTATGACTAATAACTAAGAAAGTAATGCCTGTGTGCTACTTTCCATCAGCAATTTATTGACTAACTTAGGATTTTATTTAAATATCAAGAACCTAGGATATAAATCTGAAATGACATGGTTTTGGCCTAATCTAATCTTTGTGAATAATCCTTTAACTTCTTCAAGATATACAGTAACATTCTTCTCTAACTGAATAAGTTTAAATATGCCAATTATTTTTCCAGAGTAATTGTCTTCCCGTGAACCTTTACTTAGACTGCAACTCCACAGCAACTTCAGCTGCCCTCAGGCCAAGCCCTAGAGTCCTAGCTGCCACACCACCACTTTTTCTTTTCTTTTCTTTTTTTTTTTTTTAAATTTTTCGGCTGGATCGGCTTCCTGCACAGGCTCACCATGCAGTTGCATAAGCATCAGGGCTGGCACAAGGAAGCGGGTAATAAATGGACGCCCAGGGAGAGAAGAAAAGATGGGGCGAAAGCCACCTAGAATTGACTAGCTTAAGCTGTTGTGGATCTACGCACTTAAGCTGTAAATCCTGGGGTTGGTTGGTTGGTTTGTTTGTTTTATATTCTGCAAAATACTTTTCAAATTCATACTATTCACAGAATGGATTTTTAGGCTCTTTTTTATCCCAATATTCAAAATAATCCTCTTCCCTGAAAATAATACTAAAACACCTTTGATGGATCAAGCCTCCCAGAAACAGGCATTCATCTTCTAAAAACAGAAGACATTTACCTCCTCCCCAGAGGTAGATAGCCATGAACAATTAGCTATGTGCTGTTGTTTGACTCTGAAGCTCATTGTATTGCCTAGGTACCATTTGACTATGACTTCTTTCTTTCATCTCTGGATCAGTTTTTGATAATTACTTTAAGAACCTTAATGGAGTTGACTGATTTAATTAGAATGACTGCAGATCAGAGATACCATCTGCTTTCTTTGTCACATATATCCATACAAGTCCTTTCACCAGAAAATACTGAATATTTAATATTTTTCTTTAAATGGAAGACATTATTTTAACGTGATAATAATGATTAGTTTCTGTTTGCATCTCTTGGAACAAACTGAGCTGATACTGTACCAGTAGGTAGAGCTGGTAGTTTTTTTTTAATTGACAGGATGTTGTTAATATTTACTATCTGGCCCTGACTTCTTGAATTCTATTACGTTATAATTTAGCTAGATATACTATATTAATTTCAACTATGTAAGCATTAATTTTACATTAAAATCTTAGCTTTGTAAAGGTGTGCTGTCCAAGTCCTTCAAATGGTACATAAAGGAGCACATTTCAATGAGGGAATGGAAGAAGGCACAGTTAACTTTTGTTATTCCCGAAATTCAGGTTTACTCAGTGCCAGTCCAGTCAGAAGGAAGAGGAATGACAGCAAGAGTCCCATGACTAGTTTTGCAGTTACAGTTCACTATATTACCACAGACAGTGACTTTCTTTAGTTTTAATTTAAATTGTGAAGTTATGAATCTCATGATCTAATTTGCCATATTAATAACATGTAGTTGGTTCAAGTTGGTTTAGACAAGGAAGGATAAAAGAGTATGATTTGCAAAGCAATGCTACAAGGAAGCTAGAACCGGAAGGAGAAATAAAGGAATATGGGTATTTACTCAGTACAGTTAACAAAGTTTTTGCATTTCTGGACAGCTTTCCTTACCAAATAACAAACTCTACTAGTAAAGCTTGTTTCAGACTGTGGGTCCACATTGCTGTCCCACTGGTGGCAGATGGGGTTCATCAGATTTTCATCCACGCCACCTTTTCCTCAGGCACTCATGCCTGGTCCCTTTCTCCCATCCCCTACCAGGGCTCGATGCCAATCCAACCACCAGTATGATTGCCCTCTAAGTCAGGTGTCTGAAAGGACTGAATTGGGAGGGAGGGTGGGGAAGGTGCAGTCCTAAAAGGACACTTGCTCCTAACAGCAAGTGAGAAAAAACTGTTAAAACAGTCCTGTTGCCAAAGGAATACTAACTTGGAATCGCTACCTCACTAAGGCATTTAAGCAAGCATTGCATTCTGTTCTTACTCAGCACAGCACTTACGTATCTGATTATCTTTAATAACATATTTAAGTGCTTTGTTTAAAGAAGATATGTCTCCTCAGCATGCATTTCATTGACAGAGCTCTTGCTTTGGGAGATGTTTGATCAGGTCTTCACACAATCAGACTTTTGGGTACCTTTGCATAATAATGAAAAAATATTTTATTTTCCTATATAGGTAGAAGGTGAAATGACTCCAAAGTGAAAAAAAAAACGTAAAACCAACGTGAATGCTATTCCATCTAAGCAGTAATTTAAAGAAAAAAAAAAAACCCAAAAGATTGAGCACGTATTGCCAATGTAAATATGAAATATTATAGTTATTTTGCTGTCAGAACCAAGAATGCTCCAACTTAGAGTAGCATATATATGGACATGTAAAATTGACACACAGATAACACAATCAAAGAAAAGACCACAAATGAAGTCATGAAGAACTTTGAAAATAGAATGTTGTGAGTATTTTCTAAAAATACATAAAATTAGAATAAATGATACAGCTACAAGATTATCTGCTTAAGTAACACAATTCTACATTCAAGACTTGAGCAATATGTATAGCCGAGACCCCCATAGTTATCAATGTCAGTTTTGGTGTAGACACAGTGGACAATTTGATCCAAACTACTGTCAGAGAAACAGTTAAGTCTCACCCTTTAAACTATGAAGTCGAAGATAAAACCTGATTAAATATAACTCTGTTTCATGCAAAGACTATTTATGTCAGAAGGATTTGATATTTTTTAGGAACTTACATTTTGAAGAAGGTAGACTCATTCTGCAAAGAAAGTTCAGAATGATAAATACCAGACTTGCAGCACATTAAAATATTAATATTTAATATGTTTACTAAGCAGTCTCTGTTATTTTTGTTGTGCATCTATGTAGAATTAAATCCCCCAAATTTACATTTTGATTTCCCTCACCGATCTGATAATCACAACACAGATACAGCTGTAAAGTGCAATGTATGCTTTGGTTTCCTTAACTAAAGAAAGCACTTTTATAATGGTTTTAGCCAAAGATAGGACGCATGTGTTTAAGGACATTATTTGAACAGATGATAATCTCTTTTTACAGTCAGAGAAAAGCCATGAACTACTTAACAAAAATGGTTTCATTCTGGTAGATTAGTGAATTTTAAAGCAGTCCTATTATGTAAATTACTCTGAGAAATTTGGAAGAATTCCACATTGAACAAGGATTCACTATTAAACTAATTAAAAAAAATCTTAGATCAGGTTTACAATTAAAAAAACAACTAAAAAATAGTTGGCAAACCATGTAGCAATTCAAATACAAGCTGACCATTTTCAAAATCTATAAATATTTCCAGAACCATCTTATCAACATAAAAACAGGAAGAAAAGGGGATTGTTACAGGGTTCACACGTCTGCGCAAAAGCATATATAAAGGTAATGTTATGTACATTTTATTTCAATAAAGACATAAGACAAACAGCGTAAAGATGCCCAGATGCCCTAAAGATAAATACATTTAAAAGATTCTCATTAAAATGAATCTGTAGTATTTCTTTCCTGCAAGCAAAATACCTTTCTTTAAATACAAAAAAAAAAATCAGTATTCTGAATTGCAAATGTTTTCACTTTTTTGCAGAAAATCTGCCATGATGATTTTTTTTTTTAATGAATAAGGATTTTCCACAAAACAGGCTTGCTCTACATGCTAATTTTTTTAAACAGTTCAGTGACACAATGTGCTAGCTACATACACAACAGATAATATAGTAAGAAAACACTCAACCTGATGAAAAGTTAAAATCTTCATTAATACACTGGAAAAAGTTGACATAACTCATGCCTTTTAAAATCAAAAAATACAAAAATTAAATGTTTTCCTAAAAAGATTTTCCTTATTTTAAGGACTCATTTGAAAATGAAACTGCATGTAATTTGTACAATAAAATTGTACAAGTAAACAGGTAATATACATAAAAAATTAATTGACATACTTCTCAATTATCAGTTGTCCACCTTTAATTTCCAATACTGTACTTTCTTAACAAGCATACAAAATATCAAACTTCTCTTTAGAAAAAGTGCCGTTCTGTGACATCTTTTACACAAAAACAGTCTGAGCCTATGGCATGTTAATGCAGTCGAGAGGCAAAGCATCCTAACTTTTACAAATTATACCTTCCATAAAAAGCCTCCTGAAAAGGAGATTACACACCATTATAAAAATATCAACCTCTTGTAGTAGCTGCATTAGAGAACCAAGGCTTAAAGACTATTTCCATATAGCATAGAAAACCACTATGATAGCATATTGACTGCATTGGTGGCATGGGAGTGTACTGTACCACAGGATTATGCATAGTTACTGTTTGATACCTTCACTGTTACACAGAGTTTTAAACTGATTGTAACGAACAGCGTAACAGAGGTACCATCAGCCCATGCAAAACATCTTAAAATACTGAGCCACTGTGCAGAATACTTCATTCTTGGAGGAAACAGAAGGCAGCAGAAACTGAATTGCATCAAACCTACCAGGTGACCAAACTAATTCTCCTTTAAAGACTTCCATGCACAGTATAGTCTGAGGTATTCCTTGTCCATCAGTTGTTTGTGCCACTGCAAGATATTGACTGTCCAGAGTACATGCCATCACAATGGTTTAAATATTCTGAATATTAGTAATTCTTCTATTCTTCTTATCTAGCCAGTCTCTTGATTTTTGAAAAGATTTCAACTACAGTAGAATATTACAGAAACAAAATATAAATGCAGGGTTTTTTTTTTCCTAAATGAAACTTACATGGACTAAAACTAGAGAATATTTTTAAACAAATATACAGTATGCAGGCAGACAAAGCAGGAAAACGGCCATTCAACTGTATAATAAAAAACTAATAAAATTTGGCTATTTCCAGAAAAACTATGAAGCGCCTCAACTAAAAGGAATGCATAATGAAATTCTAATCTAATACAGGTCAAAAATGTAAAAAGGTTATAAACCTTAACAGGAAAAAATAAAACAACTTTTACTGGCCATTCCTGTTGAAATGAGAATCTTAAAGTAACAGAAAAGTGGCTACAAACCCACTTAGAGCACCGAACAGAGAGAAAATAAGAGTCCATTTTCAATCTCTGTTATATCATAAAATCCTGTGTTTCTACAGGTCAAACTGCTGGTGGCAGAAACAGAATTCTTTATAAACTGCAGATGTCCTGTACATAAAAAAATTTCATTGGAGTTGCACTAGTTCTAAAGACTTTTCTGTTCTAGCCTACCTACTGCGTTGTACTGTATTGTACTGTATGTATTCAATCTCAGATATATAAAGTCTCTTTCTGTAACCCTTGATTATTGTTGGGCACCAAAGATAAGAAAAAGCAAGACGGGGTACAAAAATGCAAAATTTCAACAGTAATGGCAATGTTTTTGTTTTAGTCCAAAAGGGTCCTGCATTTTCTCCCCCTTCAGTAATTAGACAAAAGGCTTTAATCTGGGGGTAGCAAGTCATGCAAGCGAAATCTGTCTCTGATGTGAGGTCGGACATCTTCATTCTGTAGGAAGAAATAAAATTGCAGGTTTTAAAAGAATGAATGTATCTATAACTCAGATTTTAACAAGATTCTAACATCAGTATTTTAATATAACAAAATATAATCCCTGCATATTTATAATTACAAGAGACTTACAAAAATAATTAAATAACATTCACCACAACTTTGGAGTACGACTATCTCCGTCTAAAAAAAGAAAGGCATACCTCACGGCCAACAACAAGCATTATTTAACCTAAATTCCTACAGACATTCAGTTTTGTAACTAATGTCAGAATGCTCTGGGTCTTTATTAAAGGCATAGTAGTCCTGGTACATACTTTGTATTACTGCTCAGAGTAATATTTTCAAAAAGAGAGCTACATGACTTACAGTAGTGTAAATCTCAGTGAATCAAAATCTTAAAATATGTCAATTCTTAAATGCAGTAATTGTAACATATTAGGAGAAACAGAGGCCAAATAAAGGAAATACTTACCAGCTCTACAAGTTTCTCCAGAAAGGGAATCAATTTTAGGAGTTCATTGTCATTTTTATCCATGAACCAGCTTTCTATAGGAATTCCATTTGAAAGCTAAAGTAAAATCATGTGTTATTAATTTTTATACCGAATTTATCTGCAGATACAACTTGTGAAATAGCATTTTGGGGAAAAAAATATATCCAAGCTAGAGTTTATTAATAATGTATCTTTGCTCTACAGTTTGTATTAAAATTAACTTATAAAATACCTCCTTTCTTTGCATAAATCACTGCAAACGTTTCCATATCAAAGCAGAAATATATCTAGCTCTAAAAGTTCTGCTGAAGCGAAAAGCATTTTCTACTGAGAAAATTTGATGTTAAAACTTTCACAGATACTAACTGTATACTGGCTGTAGTTTGTATGTGCACATGAGGCTAGGTCAGACAGGTTTTTGAGGTTTTTGTTCTTTAACAAAGACATTAGAGATCACATTCTGCATTCCCTTATTGATAGGGTAGGAAAATTTAGAAAAATTACAGCTAGAAAAATTACATAGCACACTTCTGGAATAAAACTAAATCCCAGGGTATAACTTGAACATTTAAGTATAAACAATTTTCACAGGTCTGTGTGTGTCCCGTCAACCAGCAATCTGTTCTTAATCATTTCACTAGTATTAAAAGCCTAAATCTGCAACAGAGTCCAAGCAACTGTCTTAGCAGATCGGTGGTTTCTTTAGATAAGATGAATGAGAAATAAAACTGATATAAGTCTGTTCATATAGTAAGTCACTTAGTTTGCTCTTTGTCAGCTCTTTACAAAAATAACAAGAACAAGGAAATGCGAGTGCTTTGCTAAAGGATCTCTTTGTAAAATTAAACACAAAAGTTATGCATAAAACTTAAGTACAAAGTTAAATCAAAAGATAAGGCTCCACTCTTTTCCTCCAGAAAGTTTTTGGCCATATCTGAAGTTTGCTGATAGCAACTTACTTACTTGATAGGCAAAGGCTTGTGGTGAATTGTCAATTATGATCGTTTTTGAAAGATCTCTACCAAGAATGTTTAAATCCTTTATGTAGTTTCCTTGTACACAAACGCAATGCTCACGGAAAAGTCGATGCCTGCGATCAAATTAAAATACTGATTAATGAGACAAATTACAAAATCTACATTGCATAGGGAAAAAGAAAGTTTTCTAAATATTATCCACAATTTTTTTCTTCTGATCTGTTTCACTCTTTTTCAAGAGCTCTTTCATTTATAGATAGGTTCTCTCTTTTGAGCTTTTTACTGTTAAAATTACTAGTGAAGTAGCTTTTATAAGTAATCTAATTCTGCAAGCAGTTGTTTGTTTTTGTATATTATTTAACCAGAACAGCTCAACTCAGATTTATCAAATAGTTATCAACAGGATCTTGCTTTCAAACCATTTTTCCAGATGGGTTGACCAAGAGACCCTAAATGCTCAAATGATTTTTGCAAGGCCCCAACCTCAGAAATTATGCCTGAACTGGAACCCATTTAAGTTGGTTCCTTTTATTTTGTTCTAACCATTGGTGTACGTAAGCCTCCCTATGCCATTGCATGCTAGAATAGAAAGTATCAGAAGAAATGGTTTCCTTTTTATGTTACCTCTGTTTGCAATTAACCTATTTCAGTTATTCGAGCTTGACAAAAGCCTTTAGGCCAAAACATTCCATCAACTTCTTCCCTTCCAATTAGTCTGCTCCCTTTTAAGTTATTACAGAAGAAATATATAACAAATGTTTGCATAGAATAAAAGGACTCAGAAAAATATTGGGAATAAAACTGAAATTTCATTGAATATCAATTGTAAATACAATTTAAAAATAAACTGTGAACTAGACTGATTTTGAGTTTTATATTTTTGTATTAAAATGCAGTCTCTTTAAGGCAGCTCATATCTTCAAGTGAAGTTTTTAGAAGCTGTACGTAGTGTGCTTAATTTCATAAAGGGGTTGAACTCCTAATGTTGCTATGGAGGAAAATAAGCTGATGCCTCAGCAGCAAATGAATTTATATATAGATTCTGAGTCATATGTGTGGAGTGCCTCCTGACAAGTCTACCTTTAGGCTAATGTCAAAACTAATCATGCCTTGATGTCAGCTTTCAGTGGCACATGAATCACAGTAAATTCATGAATCACATGAATCCATCTGCAAATTCTTAGAATGCTTTTTGGCTGTACATTTTATTATATTTTTCCTGTTCCCAGTGCATTTAAAATTTCCATCCTGAATCATACATATTAGGTTCTTGCAGAAAGATTTCCAGTGCTACAGATGCACACTTAGACTCGTTTTCTGTCAGCGCAAGTATCATACTTGCTCATACATCCTGTTTGCCTTTGTGATTCAGATAGGCTCAGATATTCCAATGATTATGCATTTCTAACTTTGAAAGTCTAGTTTTGTTTGCCTGTTCAAAACGCAGTAGCAAATTAGTTTATCCATAAGAAACCAGGGTTCTGCTGTGCCGCATGGAAACAAGCAATAAGATTATTCCTGCCCTACAGTGCTTCTGATAAATTATTTTAGTGCTTTATGTTGTACTGACTTCAGTACAAATTTCAATTAGATAAAATAAAAGCATTTGCTATGTTTTAAGCACAGAAATTACGTGGATTAAAAATAGCGACAGTTTATCTTTACGCTCTCGAGTTATGATGTCCCGAAACTGCTGAGTGAAAACAACAGGTGAATCATCATCTCAGTCAAAATGGTAATTTTATTATGCATTTAAATAAAACCAAGTTTTCACTCAATAAAACTATAATAAAATGACGCAGAGAAGCACTTTACCGTGACCTCCCAAATACAAAATCTATACAGTCCTGACCACAACTAAGTACAGTTGTTTACTTCCCTTGCTTGGAATAGCCTATTTAGGATGAGTCCTTGAGAAGTTCCCTCTTCTGTTTCAACTTGCTCACCTACCAGTCCACCTTCGCCATGAGAATAACAGAAGGAGTCTCATCCTATGTAATTTCCTTATGTCTTAAGGTACAGTTCTTGAGAAATACCAATCCCTTCCAAACAAACCTCAGCATCAGAAAAAAAACCCACAAGAAATGAAAAACCAAAACAACTTTGCTGCAAAAATAACAAATACATAATTTTGTAATTGAATAAGAAACAAAAATGTTGACTGTGAAGATAACTATAATTCATAATTTATAAATAAGAAATCAAATTTGAATAGTTTAAGAGTAATCTAATCTTCTATCAAAAAAGTTCGTTTTCTTTATTCGATATATGTATTCAAAAGCAGCTGAAACATGCTTTTGATACCTAAGAGGTCATTTTCAGTGAGCAATTCTAATATGCTACAGAAAAGGAACAGATAAGCTTTTAGGCCACACGATTTATCTTATCACCAAAACAATAATTCAATCACTTCATTTCATTTTTCTCTCACTCTTTGACAGACTAGATATAAACACAAGGAATCAGTTTAGTGAGACACTGGAACAAAGAACATGTCATAATCAGCTTCTTCATTACATTTATTAGGAAAACTACTTTGGTTGCTTACAACAGGTATGTTCACAATTTTTTATTTTTACCTGACCAGTTGCTTTTTAGGGTCTAGTATGTTCAGTAACTTGTCTGCATACACCTTCTTAGAAGCAGTAAAAAGAATGATCTGCAGATTAAAGGGCGGAAAGTAATTATTTTAGATATAAATATGTGAATATAATGTAAAAAGGAAATTCAAAGGTAGCATCTAATTATTCTTACCTCATAAATCTGAGACATACGTTCCAGGAATTCTCTGAAGAATGGCCTTAACCGGACATAAACCTGAAGTAGAGATAGGCTTTTAATAAAGATTCAAAATAATTCTGCTATCACCTGTGCTACTAATTATCATTTTGTAAAGATTTAGTCAAAATTGATATTATGAATGAAGTAAGCGGCAAATAGGAATTAGCCACACAATAACAACTTAATAAAAAAAATTAAATTAGCTTGCAACCTCTGCCAAAGCACCTATAAATAAAAGGGTAAGATGATAAAAATAGGCTTAACAATTTTACTGGAAAATGTTATGCAATTAGAACTTATTTCAATTAAAATATAAAAGTTGGATAATCGCTAAACAAAAAAATGAAACTAGCTACTTTGACTAAACAATTTGAATCCGCTTTTACCAGTTGCGCAACATCATTCAACATCATTCAATTACAAGATAACGTGCTCCAGCGTATAAACTAAGCAGTCTTCTCAATAACCTTCTTCCGCCAAGACTTACACAGTGAATATGGGGGTGTCAGAAGCAATAAAAAAAGCTGACTTCAGCTGTTTCCAAGGTTCCAGTAATTGAAGTACCACCAGCAAACAAAGAACTGCACTCATATATAAACAATTCCCTGTAAAAAACTGTAGACTCAAGAGAAGAGATACAAAATTAAGAGACTTCTGCATCTCCCTCTCTCTGATAATAAAATAAAAGACTTGGCCTTACATGGTGGACTCTAGATAAATCTATAGCTTGAGGCCAATGGCTTAACACTATGGGAGATCTCACGGTACATATCAAGGACTATTCTTCTACTCCTGTGGTGCGATATTTTTGAATTCCTGTTTTTGTTTGAAAATATCCATAATATATATCTCACAGATGGAAATCTACGAAAGTTACACATTACAATCTCAGCTGTCATATCTTGAATCTTTTAGACTATCTGGAGGTCTAATTTTAGACATGTACCCTTTAAACACACATGAAAACTTAAAGGTCTCTTGTACTACTGACCTCGTGCTACTGGAATTTGTTGTGAGCAAAGATGAAGTTCTATGACAACTGAGTAGGATGTGAGATACCAATACCAACTTCAGTGAAAGCATGAGGCTATAACATGTCAAACTAATACTGGAGGTTAGCATGCTGAGTTTCTTCACCTCTCAGTTTTCATCTATGTTGCTGGCTGCAACTTGAGGCAAAGCATCTCCACTGTGTTTATGAGCTGGTGGACTACTGGGCTCAGCCCTCCCAAACTCAGCCTACCCAATTACAGATGAAGACTCGGGCCTGTGCTAGCTTTGACAAGCATGCTCCGATTTATCCACTTCAGGCCCTGGGGAATTATGGACGTGTACCTGAACGTATACTACCTTGAATGATGGCCTTCGGTGGTCTTTGGCACACATTTGGACTTGACCTTAACCAACACTGACAACGTATGGTAAGGGGTGAAAATGAAACCTTATTCTCTGCTTACCTTTCTTTTTATTTCAGGGTTTGCACACACATAGAATTAAATGCTTTTGAGAAAAGCATCGTTAAGATATCCAGAAAGAAGAGGGAGTATGTTGACCTTTAATTACTTTAATTTAAACCAAGTTAATTTCAGATATAAATTAAACTGAAGCAATTTACCTTTAGGTCAAAGTAAGTCCCCAGAAAGGATATGTACTTTAACTTTAACTGAGTTGTATCAGATTTATATGTAGACACAACCAAAACCATCCACAGGAAAGGAAAGGGGAATAATTTAAGTGAATACAAAGTTTCACATTGTCAGCACACTGCAATAAATCTTAGTCCTTTAATGGAAGCGCACACAGAGAAAATCTCACTATTTAGCTTAAAATGTAGTAAGGCTTTTATTTGTTCCTTTTTAAAGCGTCTAAAGTTCTGACTTAAGTTTATAGAGCGCCCAGTTACCACAGTAACATTTACATTTGCAGTTTTTCTAGACTAAGAAGAATAATCAAAAGCATATAATCTTATCACAACTGGTAACAAGGCCATTATTTCTAGCATAGGAAGAGATAGTCACTGACTACGCAAACAATGTCTACTTCCCTTCTCATTCTGGCAAACCCACAGTGTGAGGCAGTAAAGACTTATCCCTCAGCTTGGCCATCAAGAATGGTTTGGAGAGACCACAGGCTGTGCTTGATAGGTTGCTGGGCTGCATTTAGCCAAGATACTACCGAAAAGCCAACTTTCTAAATACAGAGTTGACAATTGTGTCTTCACACCGTATGTCTCCTGACGGCAGTAAAACCTTTGTGAAAATGACATCATTTGGCCATAAGGTAGTGAATTTTTCTTCAAGGACTAGATGAAGTATTTATCTTACCACAATAACAAACGTAATGAATTAACTCAGAGCCTCCAGCTGCCTAGATGCTAAGTAACATTCAGGTTGTCTGTGACTGCAAATTCAGTGCAAACTGTTCATTTTGAATGTCTTTTCTGTATATTGTTCAGCATATAATACAGCCAACATTCTCTAGTTGAAACCTAGAGTTTTAAGGGAAGGTAACAACTTTTTACATATTTTTGTAGCTTTCCTTTGAAGAAAATCACAAAAGATAATATCAACACAAATTCTTCCAAGTAGATATCAGTGATCTTTGTGATCAATATTGTTTCCACTCATTTCTCCCAGAGTTAAAGTGGTATTTCACTGCAGAAAGTGAGTGCCAGAAACTTGGAAGTACAAATGATGAAAAGTTTTTATTTGCAGATGCCAAAGGGATTATTCTGTTCATGTGTTTTTCCTGAGTGAATATTTACTTTATTGGGACCTAAATCTTGTTCTTCAAGAGTCAAAGGTCGGTCACAGAAAGGATATCAAAATTTTCACTGCATATGAGATAATAATTGGAAGTAATAATGGATAAGGAGGATGATGTTTGGTTCTAAGGCTTCTTCAGGAGCTCAATTTCAAATTAACATGCCTGTTCTGTGATGGAAGAAACACAGATGTCATTTGAGAAACAGTCTCCTCCTTAATATCTCCTCTACAAACTCTCCTGGCAACCAAAGCAGTAAGCTAAACTGTCTGTCAATATTTCAAGTGTCGCTAATATATAGGAAAACATTTGCTACATAATTTACTGCTCTTTTTACATCTGGATTGAATCATATAGATCATAATGGCTAGTGTAAAGAATTTTAAAACCCATTTGACTAAATCAGAGAATAGTTATGGCTTCCTCAACAGAAGGAAGTTTGGGTTCCTCAAGCATACAGGCCTTTTCTGTTTTGTTTCCCTGAATCTTAGTTTGTAGATAATTGCATTATCTTTGTAACGTGTTCTATTTTAGATTACTGACATGGACTTATAAGTGTGTATCTATCTTTATATAAAGTTGTCAAATTATTTTCTTTCTTTGAAAAGTTAACATGTGAAAGCAAACAAGAAATCCAGGGAAAATAATTTCTTTTTAGAATATGTATTTCTGCATATTTTAGAATATGTATTTATTGTGTGTATATATCTATATACAGATACATGTATGTATGTATGTATGTATACACCCACACACACACACACACGTATAATTTAAAGAACATCATCAATGGCAGATTCACTGATCTGTTTTTACTGTTTTGTGAGACTCTGGCACAACATAAGGCAACCAACCACAACATTAGAGCCACCTAAGACGAGTTGATACAGACTTTGGGTAACCAAAGTAGAGCAAACTAGAGCAAAAGACATCCCCTTTTCCCTCTCTCCTTCATCTTCCCTTTCCTTTTGCATCTTCCCCATATTTTCCCTTTTTCTTCTTAATTGTTGTGCTAACATTCCAAGTTTCTCCCTTTCCTTCTCAAGTCCAAAATTCAGCATAACTCTGGCAAATCTCTCTTCCCTCATTCCTCATTCTACTGCATACACAAATTCTAATTCCCCGTCACTTCCCGCTCCTGCTCTGTTGAGCAGATCTAACGTGAAAGGTAACTTTGAAAATGCACACACAGAAGTCTAACAATAATTTTCATCATTTTTAACAACTAAAAGCTTATTTGTCCACAGAGATATATGACATCACCTACTTCATACAAGCTCCCATAAATACATAAGAAAAGCCTCCTCATATCTTTGCTTCAAAATGATCACCATATCCCATTATTTCAATAGCAACAAAATCTAAATGTTCAAAATCTAAATTGCCATTCAAATCTGTCATAACGCCCAACTGTTGCCACTCAGAATGCCCTGAGGAAAGCTGGTGCTTTTCACTGGCATAAGGCAGACAGCAACACCAGTCTCTCTGAGAGCAGTGGTTTTGAAAGGGAGCAGCTTTACGTGATATTCTTTACATTATAATATAATCTTTCAGTATCTGCTAAATGAGAAACTTCTAGCTTATTAAAAAGTGTTAAGCCATTAGTCCTAACAAAACCTATACTCAAAACAGGCCCATTTCTTACTATACAAGAAATCTGAGGTCTGTGTTGGGGGAAAAAAAACTGTCATGGACAAAAATAAAAGAAACATTTTGCAATTAATTTTCACTTCTGATATATTTACATGCAAGTTCCCAAAATATATTTCATGTTTAAAAAAAACTTAGGACTTTAATTCTTGGAAGGAAGTGTTATGCCTTTCATGCATTAAAAAAAAAAATACAAAAGACATGTATTCCACTTAATGCAAAAATCTATGAAATTACAAGTAATATACCTGTATACCTGATGATTTTACTTGCATTTTATAAGGGGAAAACCAGAGACAAGTGAGTTATCTTGCCAACAGGAAGCTACACTTATCCACTGCGCTTCCAAAATAAACCCTTACTGCAGCGTGGCCAGGCCTTCTGTCTGGCCCAGCTGCCTCCACGCACCCCATCCAACCTTGGGGCATGCAGTATCAAGCTAACCTGACTGCTCCTAGTCTTACCTGGAAAAGCCTTGTCCATGGTCTGCTGCAAGGGCAGCTGGGTGTGCAGACAGCCTTAGTTCAGGCTGCACGGGACAAGTATGATGCACGGAGCTGGGTCCTGAGAATGCGTGGGGCTGCTCCAGGACTGGCAGCAGGCTGGACTGGCCAGCTAAACAAGCCAGACTCATTTCCAACTGGACCCTGCGGTAAGCGGCTCGAGATGAAGACCGTCTTAAAACCGTCTTATAACCACACCGAGGTACCTGAACCTTAGCCAACTCCGGCTCTTCAAGGGGTGGTTCTACTGAACTAAAAGTAATTCTTCCCAAATTAAGACCAGCTTTCCTTGTGCGTGCTGCCCAAGATACACTAAAGCTTGACAGCTTTACAGATCCAAGATGGTGGCTCTGCTGCTATGTCAGAGAAACACACAGAATGGGGTTCCATTAGAAAGGAGAGCCAGAATTCACAAGCCTCATTCCATTGCAGGAACAAAATAAAGCATCTAAGCAATCTTTGGCTACAATGGGATGGAACAGATGTAATGCTACATTCGGCAACCTACAGCTCACCTATGTAGTTCTAGAGCACCTTTCAAGGATCACAAAGACCAAAGTGAATTATTCTGTGATAGATCAGTAAGGACATATTTTAACTCAAGAACTGAGTGAAAATATCTGCATTTTGACTAAAGTCTGCTTGCACATGGAAGCTATCCTTTGAACAGAATAGGGGGTGAGATGATCTCACATCTGGCACTTGATGCCTCCACAGCAACAGAAACAAAATATGATGAAAACCTCTTAACCAAGTAAAAAGATAAATTTTGTAATAAGATAAACATCTCAATGTAAAGCATTAAAATAGTACAAACAGTATAAAATCTAAAGTCTGCAGCTGAAGATTTCAACATGTATTCCTGCTTTCCAGGCAGATGCAAGATAGCATTTAACAGATATACTCTAGCTAAGAAAACTTCAACTTTGCAAAGACTGTATTTTTACTAAGCGCAGAATTTAACAGCTGGCATAATTTGGAGACTTCTCAATGAAGGAAACACACACAAACTAATCTTCTCAAAAGTCCGATGTAGGTAAGGACAATTGTACCCAATTTACAGAAACCAGGATAGTATGCTCTGAGTGACTTATCCAAAGGTTGAAAACTATATGTTAGTGCTGGAATTGCATTGTAACTTCTAAGTTTCCAGAACACGGCTCGACGCTCATATATTAAATAGTTCTTCTCTTCTGTACAACTCATGATAAGTTGCGTGAATTAACTTAAAAACAAACAAATCCTATTTTTAGAAACCTTTCTTAAGAACAGATCTTCACTTACAGTCACTGAAACAAACAGCAACAGAGCTGAATTCCTGGACTTGAAAACTTGTTACCTGGCTCACAGGGCAATGGAATTCAGGTATATTTTATATTAGACCTTTTAGACACTAAGTCAATCTGATTCTTATTGTTGCAGTATCCTATTATGGCCAGTTCTAGTGTATCTTTTCGAGTAAGTGCCAAGTTTATCATCACACTATTAACAGTAAGAACACTGGTTTGATATCTTCAGATGGGTGGAAAAACTGAAATGCTGTGAACTCAGGTTTGCTTTTGTATTATTAGTCAGATTTAATGTGAGAAAAATATGACATTCACTAGGAAAATGAGCACTGAGCTAGGTCTTGCTCTTTCTTAAAAAAGATAACAGATAATTATTTTTATAGTATTTCTGGAAAATCTACATGAAAGTGTTAGATATTTTCATACTAATGGAAAACATCTTCAGAAACGTTATCTTTCACATCAGGTATTGTTTTCAGTGGGTTGTATTATGCAATCGTTTATATATAGTAACTTGCTGACTTCTACTTTGCTCAGACAGCTTAGTGTCTGCTTCCCATTGCCAGCTGAAATGACTTTCAAAATGAAATATGGAGATGTGAAATTAATATAGAACTATACCAGAGGGGATGGTCAAATTGATAGGCAAAAAAACCACATTTCAAAAGGTGAAAAATAGCTAATCATTGACTAAGAACACTAAAAAGGGTATGTAATATCAACAAACTTCTGCTCAACTTTTATCATAGGAAGATTACTTATCTTCTTGTCTATTATACCCTAGTGGAACCTGAATTTAATTGTATCCTTAAAATATTTAAGTGTCTTGCTTATTACCTGTGACCTAGTAAGAGGTGGAAGTTTTTTAAGTTGTAAAGTCTAAACGGAATACAGTGATCAGGACAGTGTGCTCACAGACAGTGAGCAACTTTCTCAAGCCTGCAAGAAGTTATTGTTCCTTGGCAATTCTAGACTAGAGAGCTAAGACAAAACTTATCTAGGACTTGAATAATTGCTTTACTGTATCAAAAGCTATACAGGCTTATGTACAATGCTGTTAAATAAAGATTTAGAAATCTAAGTCGCTCTTTACATTGACGTCAACTTCCTGAAGGCAAAATCCGGGTTAGATCTCAGCTACTCTCATTTAAACACACGTCACTAAAAGGACCACAGTTATAGACAGAAAACACTCAAATCATACTGAGCTCTCTTAAGAGAAGGAAGGGAAAAAAAAAGAAGCTTTAGTCTTCCTGATTCTGTTAGCAGGGACAAGAACCTCCAGAGAATTATTTCTAAGGCTCCTTCCAATTTCAGCCTGAAGGAAACTGAGCATGGCCGTCACCAAATAAGAGATAAGAAACCCATGTTTAAAAAATTATTTCAGCTTTTCAAATTCCAAGGGTTTTTATATGCAACAGTGAAGAAAAACATTTTTAAAATCAGGAAAAATACCTGGACAAGTGTCCTTTTAAGGTGCCTGATGACTGGCTCATTCTCCAAAGATACTACAGTGGGGTCCAATATCGTGCGAACTACATGGTGGGGAAGCTGTTGCTACTCCCAGGTACATCACACAAAAGGACCTGAGAACAACAGCCTGGGTCAGTGCAGCATCTTTGGCAGTTGCTGGAAGAGAGTTCCTCCTTCCCATGCTTGTTCCTCTATGGTATGTCAATGTAAAACACATATATCTAAGAATACCTCCTGATGCAGAACAAAAAACTAACAGTCTAGCAGTCTTCCACAAGACAATCAGAAATCACTCTAATCACCAAGCAGACTCTGGGAGTAAGGAGGTAGAACTGTCACTGGCAAAGGGTACAGCAAGACTAAACACTCTAGACAGAAGCTAGTTAATGTCAGGCTCTGAAGAGGTCTTCTTTATAGAAAGAAATGATCAACCAGTGTGGACTGTTGTTCCCCATGCAGGGAAGAGAGTTAACAGTCCATGAGAAGCTGTACCTAGGAAATGACACTAGACAACTTTCAGTGTTCCTGCCTCCACCTGCTGGTAAGGAGAAAGGCTGCTGCTGAAGATTGCTGCTACAAAGATCATTTACACTTTCTTAGCAATGAACGTTTACAATTTGAATTAGTGACCAACATTACCACATTGTTGCAATAAAAAGTGCTCTATCGTATTTCTAATACGGAATAATCCACCTTGCAGAATTTGACACCTGCAGTTTATAACCCAGACAGTTGTTAAAATGCCAGACAGCATTTATCTCTCTTTAGACAAGACGATATATATTCACAGCAAGAATTCACATGTTAAAACAAAAAGGTATATATTTTTCTACGCATGCCAATTACCTGGTAAATTACATCTTGAAAAAGGACTGGAAAAGTGAGTGCAGCATCTTCTAATTCATTTAGACTACAGTGCACTAATGTTTCATCCTATTAAAAAATTTAAAAGATAATATTAAGTAAGAAAAAATTGTGAAAAGAATGTTGAAAACAGAAGTAGATGTTTGCATTTTATGTTCTTTTTAGGGTAAATTTATTTAGCCTGTAAAATTTAGTTTTGTGCAACCACTGTCAAGACTTGCAGAAGAGTTCTAAGAAAGAGTTATACATTTAATTCTAGCAGTTTTTGAAGAATTTCACTCAGGATCGTGTGCTAGTGGCAAAATTACAAGAAGTTATTTTAATTTTGTAGGCCAGCCTGTCATTGCGTTCCTATCTACATCCATCTATCCATTCATATGACCGCTAGAGGACATTCCAATTTATATTGCTCATGATAAAGCAATGTTCCTGACATCATTAGCAATGTCTGAAGCAACTTTCAAAACAGAGACATAAAAGAAATGATTCTGAAGACAAACAAATTTTCTAAGAATCTTTAAGAAAGTGGATTTATTTGTGCCCCCTCTGAGAATAAGAATGTTCTAAGAAGTAAAAGATTCATTCTTTGTCAATTTTGACACAAGTCCATGTGAAGCTGAATTTCCGTCTTTATTATACCTCATTTTTTTTCCACAACAGTTTTAAGAAAGCTTTATGGGCACAGGTAACACCTTTTTCAAGATGATGAAAATTTTAATGCTTTTTTTTGAAGCAAGATGTGAAATATTTAACAAATACAGCAAGCATTCTATTCTTTCCACTATTAAATATATTTTTACATAGAGTATCTTTAACAAAAAACATTATGGAAATTGTAACATTCGAAAAAGTCCTTCTGTTTAAAGCCAATGTTACTAATTTCAGCAACAAACAAAATAAATTTAGTGCTACTTAGCTCACCCCCTCCTTCTGATATGTGTTTATAAACATATTTACCAAGTCTAGAACTAATGAGAATTCTGGTGTGCTTCTTGTTTTCAGTGGAAGAGCTGGCTTCCTGTTAAGCTGTTCTTCTGTTAGTGGTGGAACATGTTTGATGAAATAATATCTGAAAAGAATATAGATTTAGTTGTAGAAATGCGTGCACATTAATTGGTGATGTTATAACCCAACTAAGTTTTTTAAATATTTAAGGCAGCACAAGAAATGAATAATTTAAATTGAAGAAGGAAACACTACAATATACATATACACTTATTTTTTAGGAACTTTCAGAATTCATTAACATGGTATAAGAAAAATGTACCAACTCAAATAAAGATTACTTAAACCAGTATCCCAAACGATCAATTTAATATTTTCAGTACCAACATTAGCACTTACGGATCAAAGACTTCCCAGTCTTCTTCATAGGTGGCTTCTGCATGAGCTGATGAGTAGCCACTGTCTGGAGATACTGGTGCTAAAATTCAATGAAAATGACCAAAACAAAAAAATAAAACAAAAAACCACAAGAGCTAGTCTTATTAGTGCAGTTTTTGAAAGTGAAAATTTGCACTTGATACAGGAGTGTTTCAAATAATAATGAAAAATTCCCCCTTCAGCCCTGCTCTGGCAATGTCCCATGTTTCAGCTGAGATGGACTACATAACTTCTCACGAAGCTACCTGACAGCTTGATGTCACATCATCCTACGTTACTTCATGCTCTGGCCAAAGTGAAAGCACCCCTATTACAATAGCAAGGCAGCCACACAACCTCTGATGATGTGAACGACCTGGATGCACGCTCCAGGCACATCACCAGCTGATTTCATCATCTGCTGGGGTTTTTTTGCCACAGGAGGAACACCTGTTGGCTGTATGATGGAAGAGGGTCATGGGGAAAATGGGAAGTGGGAAGCTGGAAGTTAGCTCTAAGAAAAAGCACGATTCATTCAGTCTGCAGCTCACTCCCACCTTATGTCTGAGGAGCCCTTCTGTGAAAAGGCCCCAGGGAATCAGCTATAGACTGGCTGAGCTGATTAGAAGGTCTGTATTGGACCTGAGGACCACACATCAGCCACCTTACTTGGGGGTAAAATTTACTCCCTTAATAGGAGGCCTCATAAACCTAAATTCTTAAATATCAAAATTTTGAGGGTCTGAGTAACTGTTAAGAATTTGATGATGGCCTTCCATAAAGAGATGAGGCTGAATTTTATGGATACAATTTTTTGGACAAAAGGAAGTATGGTGAGTCTTCTGAAGAAAATTGTGGAAAATTAATGCAAGATCTTTATTTCTTATTGACTTCACCATGCTGTTTTATTATAAGAAACCAAAATGCTGCAAATTTTTCTTCTGTGGTGAGCAAATCCTAGGCCTGTATTCCTAATGTAAGTAGAGGAAAGTGACTTAATAAAAATACCCTACTCCTGGAATCACTGTTTTAATTTGAAAACATTTTACAGACATCAACGCAGTTACACTAGAAATGGATGAGACCTGCCTGCAAAAACTGTCTTTTATACAAAGAGGTTTGTCTATTAAACACTGAAATCAGTATTAATGCTTTTTGGCATGTCTAAGCAAACATGAAATATTTGTTTATACAACATGCTGGCAGTAGGATTTCCCTAAGAGCCCAAATTACATACAGCTTCAAGATTTGAACTGAAGGAAAACACGCATTTCTTACCTGTAAGTGGTGGCAGATCACGATCATTTGTTTCCTCCACTTCTTCTAAACCATTGTTGACAGTAGATCTGACCTGCACTGCTTGGCTAGTATAAGCTGTTCCATTGGTTGATGTTGCAGTACTTGTAGTAATCTCATCTACCTGTTCCATATCAAGCTGTTTGACTATTTCTTCAGCTTCAACAGCTTGCCCTGGAGAATCTGATCCTGATGTTCCTGAATTAAGATTTCAGTACACTCACGGTCATTATCTTTACGGAGAGTTACCTTTCAGTGTACTATAATCATTATTAAACACAAAGAAAATATGTTTCAGAATAACTGAAGATGGCTTTATTTGATTCAAGTTACAAAAACAAAATGAAGGCTATGACAAATGTGTCTGGGTGAAATAACTTTGTACCAATTTTTATTTTTTTTTAATAAAAGGTGCAGTGCTGGATACTTGTATCTAGGAAAGAAATGTCCCAATGAATATAAACATATTGCTTCTTTTATTAATGAGCAACCCTTGTTGAATTAGGAAGGAGGCCTTTTTTCTGACAGCAGTAACTCTTGGTCTGTAAATCAGAAGGAAAAGAGCACTGCCACCTCAAAACAGCTTTTATCTAAAATAAAATTTAAAAAAAAAGGAAAAAAAAAAAGATCCTAGCTTTAACATTATTGGCTTTTAAAGTTATACTTACCATTTTTATTTGCTGGTGAGAAAAAATTGAAGACAGGAGAAAATATGGTGCCCAGTAATGTAGTTCGTGGGGGACTGCCAGTAGCTGGATTTTCTTCTAATTTCCCATTTTGCTTTACATGTTGGTTTGTCATTTCATAACTTCCAGCTTCTGTAAAAGAAAAATTATGAAGTGTAGTAGCATGCTTCTCTTTTTCAGAGTTACGCCCTCTCTTTCGTTATCATTTTCATTACAGGAAAGATCACTGTTGCTCATAATTCTCCTTGATAGGCAGATCAATTAACCCGAGTATTTCATTAAAAAAAAAGAACTAGAAATTCAGTATCAACATAAAAACAAAATGCTAATTTTCAACACTATTTTAAGCAATCTTTTTAATTAACAAGCAATAGTTGTTATAAAAAGGAAGCTATACTTCAACAAATAAAAGTTTAATAATCAGTTTAAATCCTTTAAATGGGCTTGATGATGGAAGATAGACTTTCAGATGCTATGCACCCTTCACAACAAACAGATGTCAGTGTCAGCGGGACTCCAGTAGATGGAAACAAGGAAAGTGTCAATGAAACTCCAATGGATGAACCTCTAGACTTCCAAGATCAAGTCCATAGCTTATTATTCTGCATATATTAAAAAAAAAAAAATGTACACACACAGACACACATATAAATCTGAAGTAAAATAATTAGTTTGTTATCACAGATAAAAGACATGAAATTAAATAAATCTTCACATTACAGTAACAGAACATATAACAAGTAAGGTTTTCTATGAATGTGCACATACTCTAATGTACATCCTAGATCTAAAACTGCTATCTCATGGGTGAAATCCAAGACACAGTTCCGAGGCTGGAATGAAAGAGAAGTTATTAACTATACAGTAACAAGTCTTTGAGATGTCTGTCCATATGGAAGTAAGCAAATGTATTTTGTGCACGTGAGCTGAGAACCTTTTTGTCAGCTGAGCCTGATGAAGCTGCACAAGTACATTTATACAAAACATGGGGTGTGCCAGCTGCAACTCTGTGCCTTCACTAATCCTGAATATCTTAACTAAGAACTTCATATCGCTGTAACAATAAAACGGGTTGAGCGTGCTCTATGTGCATACCTCTGTTATGCTGGCGCTTATGGAAAGCGCCAAAGAACTCTGACTAAGTGAATAGCCTCTCTTCTCCGAGCGCTGTTTGCATGCATCCCACTACAAGTGAGTGAATACCTATTCTCTCTCCAGGTGGCAAAAAGTCTTAACAAACAGTAGCCCATACTGGAAAAGAGGATTCCCCTAAAGTCATGTGACATGGACATCCTTAGCACAGGTAACCATCTGACAACAGCCAAACGCCTAACTCCCTCACGCTGTAATCTCTCCATCACTGAAGGCACTAATCTGGACTTCTATCCTCTGTTAGCTACCAATTTTACAAACCTTATTGGAACATAAAATCTCTGAGACCTCTGCCTCACTGACTAACTTGGTAGAAGCTAGCCAATGGATTTCAAAGCTAATGGGGAACAGAGAATGAAGGAATGACAGTGCAATCACATAAGTCTCATTTTCTCAGGTAAAAAGTCTAAACAAAGTTTTTCTAAGTTAGGTTTAGAACCATTGTTTACACTATTAATTTCATTAAACATTTCAGCTAATACTTAAAGTATCTGGGGGTGTCATGATTAGATAGTCAGAAAATAATTTTCACAATGAGGTAGCTGGATGACTTCTAGAGGTCCACTCCAATCTAAATTTTTCTATGATCCTATGATGGAAAGCGGTCTATGTCTTTGAGAAGTGCTTTTAACATCTAAGGATACCTGGTTACTTACACAGAGGTCATATGTTGGAAAGAAAATATCTCACTTGTTTGTAAGAAAATGGAAAATGAGCTAAATCAAGTAACAATTATCACTGGCTTACTGGAATAAAAAATAAAATAGTTAAATTAGTTCAAAAATAGCTCGTTATTGTCCCATACCCAAATTGTTCGTACAAAGATAAAACATTATTTCTCCGACACGTCCACGGTAGCTTCTATTCAGTCCTGAAGATCTTATTTTGCTACTATTAGCTCAGCCATGCTCTCACTGAAGTCAATCACAAACTCTTAATAATCCTCCACCACTGAAAAAAATATCCTATATTAGTAAACATCTGTTAAGTACTGAATCATCATTCAACTGTAATAACATATGATTAGAATATTTACAGACCTCCATTCACTTGACTTTTCCGTCTTACTCGAGAGATCTGTTTATTAGGCTTTTCTCCTGTTTGAGGTGTGGATGTAATCAAGTTGTTATCTATATCCCGTTCAATTCTACTTCTTTTTGCAGGATTTTCTCTTTCTTCCTTAAAACAGAAAAGGGGGGAAAAAGAAACATACTGAAAAGTGCCTCTTTTCTCCACTGAATACTACCAGAAAAGGTTAGCTCTTAGGGAGAGCGCCATAAGAGATCCGTTTATTGTTCCACTTCCAGACGAAGAATATGCAACCTGTATCTGGCCAGCTGGAATTTTAAGTTCATTAAAATTGACAAAACTCAGGGTAAATAGCAGAGTACTGGAAAACAACGCTGTACTTGGAAGTTTTCTGGTAGAAAAACTGTCTTTAAATACTATTTTACTGGATCACCAATTTATAAAGATATAAGTACTGTGAAACTAGAGAAACACAGAAACACAACAACTAAAATTATCTGAAATTTGAGATTTCTCTGCCTGTTAAAATACACTGGAAGTAAACTGCATAATAATATCCAATATAAAATCCTCCATGAATCTCCCTATGTAAAGTAGCTTGCTAAATTGTATATAAATATAAAATTCACTAATATTTAATCCCCATCAGATACTACCTGACAAAATTCAGCAGTTAAAAATGTTAAAAGCAAGGGTTATAACCCAGTGATTCTTCTTACCTTTAAGTACATGACTGTTCTCCTCTGTGGCACTTACATGAATGTTTTAGCTCTTGTAGAACCAGATATTTTTGCAGGTTTTTTGTGCATGAGTGTATGTGTAGGCACACATGTTGAAGACAGATTTCTTCCCCTTTTTCCCCAAAGCACCTACTACATCTTAATAAAATAGCAATCTAAAATCTAAAGCATGACCTTTGGGAGTACATTGAAATGTAAAGTGTGAGACAATGCAAAATAAATGGAATCAAATATCAAAATAATAACAAGGCCACAGAGCACACTCAAGTTAATTAAAATTTCAATTTTAGAATTACCATAGTACCTTTCTGGAGCAGTAGTTTTCAAATCTTTAAAAAGAAAAGGGAAAATCAGTTTGCTTGCTCCAGAAAAAAGTATGTAGATCCTTTAGTAAAATTAATTTAAAACCCACACTAAGACTAAACTAGCTAAAAAATGTAATAGCAAGCATGGGAATGCACTGACATCCGTTATCAGAAGACAATGTATGTGAACACTGGTGGTCCCCAAAGCGTCCTACTGGCAATATCTTCTTGACCAAGAATCTTTGTGAGATCAGTTAAATTCCTGTCATTTACAATGAATATTATTGTATACACAATAAATCCACATAATCAGAAAAGACAGGTGGCTCACTGAACTGATTAAAGAACAGTAAGGCATTTCATCTTCTATGTCATTAGTTCAAATTCAACACAGGGAAAAAAAATGGGAGAAATTAACTTTTAAAAGCTATTCATTTGCCTTCATAAAGTGAATCATGCTCTCACTCTGCTTTACGGGAGACAGGTGTAGAATAGTTACAAAAATCACAATGAGAACAGGAAATCGGGCTGATAGTATCAGCAGAGCACAAAGAATCCAGTAAATCTGGAGCCTGAGCTACCCTTTCATCCTAGAAGTGTTGCTCCACCAGAGGATCTATCAAGGAGCTGTGGGAAAGCTCACGCTGCTGTCTCCTCGTCGTACTACTTCTGTGAAGAAAGGACTTCAGTCTCCAGGACTGCCAATCTTGCAGCTCCGAAGTGCCTTACATTCATTTAAAAAGCTACAAACCAAACTGCAGACATCTTTTCCTGAAACAAAAAACCAAACCAAAACTATGCCACTTCTAAAAATATCTCTGACAAAAAAGGAAACAAGAAAAAAGCAATGGACCAGACTAAAAGAAAAATAAACAAACAAACAACGAACAAGACTTGGAGCAATAATAAACATTTACGTAATATGAACATAAATCGGTAGACACAAAACACAGTATCAGAGTTCAAGGGGCTTGTTAACAGAACTCAAAGATGAAATTACACATAACCCTGTTGTTCTACTTGGTCTATTCGCTGAAGATTTTATTGCAAATATATATATTTATATATATAAATAAATAAATATATCTGTTTAACTAGATATATTTGAATTATATGATCTATTCAGTTCAATATAACCAATTCTTATTAATAGTTGTGCCATAAGGTGCAAATATATATATATTTATATATATAAATAAATAAATATATCTGTTTAACTAGATATATTTGAATTATATGATCTATTCAGTTCAATATAACCAATTCTTATTAATAGTTGTGCCATAAGGAACATGGCAATGTCATACTGACATAAACGTTTTGTTAGCTTTCAGTTTGTTTTCGGAAATGATAGCCATATTAACGAATAGCCTAAACTGACGCTAGAAGTAAGGACAACACATGCTAAGTCAATGTAATTTATAATATTGCTAGAACTCAAAAATCAAAAAAGTTTAGAGTAACTTACAGCAGCAAGTTCTCAATATTTCTGTTTTTAAAATTAAAAATCGAAATAGTACTTCCTGAATGTATATGTGTATCTGTTTTTCTAGTACATCAGATCTGTCATTCTGTAACTCTGATTCCGGAATTTTCTTAAACACTACTTTGTAGTTCATACTATTGTTGACTTGCATGGGGGCTGTGAGTTAGCAAAAGACTCAAGATCAGCCGTGCCATCATTCACATTTCGAAAGCAACGTTTAGTTTCTATCTTAAGGAATATTCCCAATAAGCCATCCTTATAATATCTCTTAACTGCACGATGACTGTCATCAAAATTGGCGCATTTTAAAGTTATATCTTGCTATGAATACGTTTGTTGCCATAAATCCATAGAATTTCATTCCTCATTTAGATTTTAACATACCCATAAAAGAACTACTATGTAAGGTATACACACAGCCTATCTCTAAGAGTTCTGCTGTTCCCATGGCAACCGCAAGACTACTTTGTGAAGTCATTAGCGCTTTGGAAGATAGCCCAGCAGTATCGATATCATGCCATGTTAATGCCACTGGAACCACTCCAAGTCCTGCTACAGACACAGGAGAGGACATGAAAGGAAATATGAGAAAAATGTGGACATTTTACACTAAAAAACCAGTCCAGAAAAAAAAAAAAAGAACAAAACGTAACTCAAAGACGTGGGGAGAGGAAGAGAACAGAGGAAGAGAGAAAGCTCACAAAACCTTAAAGAGGAAAAACAAAACAAAAACCAGACATATTTCTCTTATCTTAAAATTCCAACGTAAAATGTTTTGCTTAGATCTCAGCATTTTGTTGCAGTGGTTTTGCAGCCAAAATGTTGCACTATTGTGCTGTAATATAGATGCTAGAATGTAAAATAGATTAATTGTCCCAGTTTAATGAAACACAAAATGTAAGCAGTCAGAACCATTTACTGTTACTGAAATACTTCATTGTCAGTATCTTTATTTTTCTATGATAGGAACGAATGCGTGCTATTAAAGATTAAATCTCACTATATTTTTTGACAATTTAAGAATATACTGTTACTTTAATTAAAATTATTTTGACTACAGCTTGTTAAAAAAATCTCTTTTCCACACTTAGTTCAAACAACAGAAAATGATTCTGAATTTAAACTGCATTTGTTATTTACCATATAGTTCATCTGAGATATGTTTTAACATAATTATGACTTCTTACGTATACTTTCAAATTTACAGTTACATACAGCTTCAATATCTGGATTGCTGGGACTAAGTTAAGGCGTTTTTTAAGAATATTTTTATAGAAAAAAAACAAGTTTCTGAAGCAACTGAAAGGTTACATTCAGCGTTACATTCAGCCTATCAAAGTAATATACGTAATTCTCCCTCAAAACTTACTTTCAGTAGGCTTTAAAATGTGAAGATTAGTATAGTGCAGATTTCTGTCTGGATCAAGGCAGAAGAGATTTAGTGGTTTAGCCCTGACAATGTTTAAATTTGATCCACTAGGTGGGGGCAACACTCACTGCAGCAACGCACTGAGCAGTCACATCAGCTCCATGGCGGTCGAGGATGTGACTTTGGACCTTTCTTGACTGTTGGAATCCTACAAAATTTCCCACAAGAATGCTAAAAATATACAGCAAATTTATGCTTACAGACTTGCTTTTTTTTAGTTCCCTGTATAGCTAATTCCTAAATTCAAAAGAATCCTTGAACCAGAACTTAAAAATCTACTGAATTTATTGTTCAACATTTTCACAAAGAAATACTTTGGTAATAAATCCTAGAATTTATTGGATTGTCTTAATTATATCTACAATTGACTCCAGTAGGGCTTGGAGGTTTGTGGGTTTTTTTTTTTTTTAATATCCATTACCTGGCATAACTAATTTTTTAAAATCAAATTCAACTGAATATGACCCAATACAAAAAAAAAAGAAGAAACCCACTGAGGCTGTACCTTGGGTGTGCTTCCTTTAATAAACTTTTTGATTGAAGACAATAAGCCAGTTTCATTTTTCTGTGGTTTTCCTCCGCCAACAGGTAAGCTCTCTTCCACCTCCGAATGTTTCCTCTTTGCCCTCAAAGCACGTTGCGTGTGAATTTGATTTGACTGCTGAGAAGCCTTCCGCGTTCTCAGCCTCATTTTCATGTGTATCACATGTAAAGCTATAAAAGGAAAAAACAAGAATACTAAGTCATTGAAGAAATCTATTAAGTTTCAGATCATGAATTCAAAGAATTATATAATACTGACACTGTTCTGCTGCACTCTGCTTTTATATCTTTCTATCTATATATATGGCTTAATTTAAATGAAGAAGAAGAGCTATTTAAGTTAAGGTACATCACTGGCAAAAGAACAAACAAATATAAGCTGGCCAAGATTACATTTAACCATTAGATCAATGAAGTTTTTGCATAACCTTCCAGTCGGAGCAGTGCGAGCAAAAAATCTAAATGCTTTTAAGATGAAAAGGATGCTACGGTGCCTGCTGTCTTCAGCATCAAATGACAAGACTCAATGACCTAGGCAGTCCTTTCCAGTCCTCTGTTCCTCACAATACTTCATTTTAAGGCTCCACATTTCGGATGAAGTATAAATCTAAATTGGTGTCAAGTGTTCACAGAATAAGAAATTATAAATAAGACTATGCATTAAATATGGGCGAGGATATAGCCTTTCAACAAAGGAACCTAAGATTGATCTTCAATACAACTGCATTTAGGAATAAGATTATACCACAGGAAGACTCATGCAAGAGCAGAGTAAAAAGCCATTCCAGAGAACACGTCCCATTAATCTCCAACCTTCACTTGGACTGCTGGTATACTTAAATTTGCACATAAATAAAATTGCTTTTCTGGATTGAGGCATACGCCTTCTTCAATTGACTGAAGCTCATACTTGGGTTGATCTGAATGGGATTACCCGTGCTTAAAATTATGCATGTGCTGCATCAGGAGCGGAGAAAGTAGCAAGAAATTCATCTGAGATGTAATGCAGACATACTGGTAAGAGAATAATGAGTATTTCCTAGTTGAAGTCATGACAATAAGACTCTAAAAAAAAGGAAAAGCATATGCTTATTACGTGATAGGACTTGATATCTGTTTTTTAAGTTTGTTTAGTACGTATTTTCTTGCTAAATAGACAGAGTAAATCATCCATAACATTTCAAATATAAGTAATGTAACAATAGCTACCTTCTTGTTTAGGAAATGCCAACATTAGGCAAATGTATGATTCACAGACACAGAAATACTGTGATATCATTGTTCAGAAGCAGTTCAAACACTGTTCAAAATTGCATATATTCTCCATTAGATAAATCTCAATCTCAAACAAAAGGTGTTCCAACCAATGAAGAATAGCATCACTACCAGCATGCCTTTTAGAAGACTTAACAGGAAGAGTACTGAACTGATATGATCAGGAGTGAAATATTTTAGTTACATGTCATATTTGCTTTAGCTGCTGATTAACATGAGATTTCATACACACTTGTTCAGCATTCTCCAACAGAACTCGATACAACTATTACAGAATGGAAAAAGACAAGTTGAGATTTGTAAATGGCCGCAGTAATCAAAAAAGTAATCTAAAAAAGTGGACTGATATTTGAGATTTAAGAAAAGACAACAAAACTATATAGCCTAAATTTATAAAAATTGGTTCCTTATAATCTTGTGCCCCCTAGTAACAGAAGTATTAAAATTCAGAGTCCGTATGAGTATGCTTTTTTATTAATATTTACAATAAAATCTGCATTTAGCTTAGAAGAGTCTACTGAACGTCAAAAAAAAGTAGTGCATGGAAATAATGAAGAAAACTCTCCAAATATTTTAATCTAATCTTCCTTCCCTATTCCTTGCCACTACAGAAATAAAAAGATAAAGATGCAATTTAAATACAAAGATGTAAAATAAATACGCACGTTACCAGAAGTTACACCTTGACTTTTCTTTCTCACAAAGTGCTGCCAGTTTAATATTATTTTTGTGATTTATGGCAGGAAGAATCCACAACAATAGACATACGCTCCTATTATACTTCTGAATGAATTAGGAGGACCTAACTGTAAAATTGAAGAAATTATCAAACATGAATTGACTGAATGGCCCAAAGGCACCTTAAAATATATCAGCTACTTTTACTTCAGAAATAGTCAGGAAAGCATTGTTTTTATCAACTTCTCATGGGTTAAAAGAAGTATTTTAGGTTAGCACGACTTTTATATTTGTGGTTTCTCAGTGTTCTTCTATGTGGGAGATGAACTAATTCACAACCCTGGCAAGGCATTAAGCCTAAGACAGAAAACGGCCATTAAAACTTCTAAGCCAAACAGTTTAAATGTATCAATGTTTGAAGTTAAATAGAGAGAAATTTATTGGAATGAAGTGAGAGAAAAACATTGTTTTTCTGTGTTAAAAATATTCTTACAGCTCTGAGAAGCTTCATCGAATTCTGTCCATGCTTTGAAATGGGAATTTTATTAGCAATATTATCAACTTGTTGAAGAATTAACTTTTTATTTGTTCCTGAAAGCGTCCTCAAACTTTGGAGACTTATAAGTCTCCAAAATTCCTCAATCTGTACGTTCCAAGAAGACGCGTTAGATCACAATCTCCAGGACCGCGAAGCGGGCAGAGAGGGAGCGCAGACAACAGTCACGAACACTTCAGCCATCCCAGCTTCGACTGGTTTCAAATGCATATCAACAGCTGCAGCACGCTACACTCCTTCACGTCTCCTACATGCTAAACAGACTGCCTGATGCCATCCAGAATGACTGGATGTTCTCTCTTTTTTCCCCACACAGGTGTAAGGGGTTTTGGTTTGCAATCATTCCTCCTGGCTGCCAGGAGCCCTGGAAGCCAGGCCTGGGAACAGTGCCATGAGGCGACCCTCATCCCCACCGGTCCCTCGGTAGGCACGCCGCAGTTTAGAGATAAACAGGAAACAGAAACATTGGGAAGTCGAGAAGTGGTGAAAGTGGAAGAAAATCAGAAAGAAATAGCAAACTTGTCAAAGGTACCTGAATCTGAATTTTGTTCGAAATTAAGGTATGGTATGAGGTATGAGAGAACCTAGAGGTTTGCTCCTGCTCCCTCCTCCTTTCTTTCCCACACACTAATGCCAGAATTTGTCTGCCCCCTCTGAGACCAGGTTAGCTCATTGAGCTAATTAGCAAAAAATTCTGGATTTTTCTTCCAGTTTAATCGGTTTCTAAAGGGAACTGATGAACATCCATGCGACGGAGCAGGTGCACCGCTGGGTTTGGGCCTGCTGCTTCCAGCTTGCGCCAGCGCAAGCACCTGGTCTATCCCGGGTGTCAGCACCGCTCCTGCCGCAGCTCATAGCGTAGGATGCTCTGCACTTCCACAGAGCCCAACTCTGCTGACAGTCCATGCTGACAGGCAATGCTGTGCTACACAGAAGCGAGTAAAAAGTTAAACAATACCAGGACCAATGCTGCCTGTGGAACTTAAATTGGCTCTCGTATTCACAAGCAACAGGGCATAATTTTTAATGACAGGTATATATTCAGAGAAGACCACTTAAGGGTGAATAAACAATCCTCATTTCAGCAATTCCTAACTTTTTAAGCACTATTTTGTAATCTTAACATTGTTTTAGAACAACTTACACGGACGTTAAGTGCTTAGACATCCCTCACGAATAGGCAAGAAAAATCCTAGTGTAAGATACCACTAGCTGTACATGTTGTTCAAGTAGTAAAAGAACAAAATCAGTTGTACTCCCTATTTGAAATTCCACAGGCTCTTGGCAAGGTCTTTCACCGAAGGCTTCTAAAGAAACTAGATTGTTATCAAGTAAGTAAAAAAGGTCCTCTCATGAGTAACAAAGTGTTTAAGACAGAAAACGAAGAGGAAGAACAAATGGGTGAAGAGAGACGTTCAGTGGCCCATCCAAAGGTCTGCGTGAGGACCTGTTCTGTTTTCTGTTCGATATAGTCACGTATTATCTCATAAAATGTGCAAATAGTGAGGAGGCAAAGTCTGGAGATGATTCAGAACTATGTGAAAAATTAAAAACTAAAAGTGACTGAAAAGTCATAGAAGATCATAACACACAAATGACTAAGCAACAAAAAGGCAGATGAAATTCATGTCAGTAAATGCGAAGTAACGTACCCAAGAAAGTATAATTAATTATTCAGATATAATTAGCGCTGAGAAAAATGATCTTGGAGGTTCTCCCTGTTGCTGCAGAATGGACTTCCGCTGTGAGGAGCTGTGAGCTGCACCATGGCTGGGAACACGCCTGAGCCATGGCCCCCAAAGGGATTTCCGAGCTGCCGTCCCCAGCGCGGCAGGGTTAAGTCAGAACAGAGGCTGGCCCACGGGACCTTCTAGCCCTTTTTCTGTAGCAACGGATCCTGACACTTGGTGGGAGGGTCACAAGGGTAAAGAAACAGACTGCAGATATATATCTATACTGTGGTGCAGATGTTTCCACAGTAGGTGGACTAGCTAGCTGTCACTCAGGCTGCTGAACTGATTTATTTCGGAAAGCTGAATAGACTTTTAGGACAGAGGTCCAAAAGACGGACCATGTGAAGCTGTGAGTGTCCAGTGGCTGCACTCCCAGAGTACTCACTGTGATACAAAAAGAGTGCAGGATTCAAGGTGGCCCTAATGTCTCGGAGCAAACAGGTATATAGTATGTGTGTGTACACGCATGTGCGCATGTATGCACGTGAGCGCGAAACCGAGCAACAGCAAGCGCTACGGAGTGCAATCAATCCCACCAACTGCAGTCCAGGAATTCCCTGATCTTCATGGCATCCACCAATGTCATCCTCCAGCATATGAAGCGGGTACTCTAACTTTTGACCACTTAAACACCAAACTTTTGACCTGAGCACAGCTGTTCTTAAACTTTTCTGTACCATGCTTTTTAGGGACGCAAACCATGGTAAATGAGCGTCTCAAGTTAATCCAATTATAGAAATTGATTTTTCAGT